AGCAACATGTGCAGTGTTACTTTAATTTTAATATGTGCCCACGTGCATGTATGTACAGGAGCCACAGTAGGAGACAACTTCATAAAGCCCACTGACTCCTACAATGTACAAAAACTTCATGCCTTCAGTGGGTGGTATGTGGGAAACAGCTCACACAGTTAAGACAAGACTATGCAACTAGTTCACAACCTCACCACCCCTGGTCAGCAATGGTTTAAATCTATTCCTTTTACCAGTAATCAGTTTGCAGCCTTCTTCAAAGCTAAAATTGAAGCCATTTGGCATGATCTTGACTCCACTGGCAGTTTGGTTCATCTGGTGGGGATTCCCTGCACATCCCCTCCCTCTGCCCATTTGGTTCAGTTTGGGCCAGTTACATCATGTGAAGTGTCCAGGGCACTGGCTCACTGTAGACCAACCATCTTCCTGCTCCACCCTTGCCCTCCATGGCTTATAAAAGTGGCCAATGAAGTGTTTGCAAACGGGGCTGTTAACATCATTAATGCGTCATTGAAGGAAGGGTGCCTCCCCTCAGGTGTCAAGAAAACTATTATACAGCCCATCGTAAAATGATCCAGTCTACCAATAGACAATCTTAACAATTTCAGGCCTATTGCAAATATACCATTTATAGGCAACATGATCAAGTACATGGTGGTGTAGTAGCTCCAGATCTACCTGGATGAGACTTGCCTTGATACATTCCAGTCTGGATTCAGGCTGTGGTGCAGTACCGAAACAGCACCAGTTGTGCTGCACAATGGCCTTTTTAGGGAGGCAGACATGGAAGGTCTGACCCTGCTGGTCCTCCTGGATCTCTCAGTGGCTTTTGATGTTGCCCATGGTACCCTCCTGGACATGCTTTTGGACGTGAGGATTGAGAGTTCAGTGCTTAGCTGACTCCAATCTTTCCTCAAGAGAGTACTCTTTGGGTATGAATTGTCAGCCCCTTGGACTCTCACCTGTGGTGTTCCCCAGGGATTGTCAATCTCCCTAATGCTTTTTAACATCTACAGAATGTCAAGCCATTGGGGTAGATCATCAGGAGATTTGAAGTGAGGTGTCACCAACAACACACAATGCTTTCTATGTGGGGCTTTCCTTGAGGTGGACTTAGAGACTTCAAAAGGTGAAGTATGTGACTCCAAGACTGGTGGCAGATATGAGTAAATTTGACCACATCACTCCAGTTCTGGCTCACCTACACTAACTACCTCTGATGTCCTAGGTCAAGTTTGGGACCCTGTTACTTGGTGGAGTGCCTTTCCCCAAGATCATCCACCTACACCTCCAGATCCACTCAGGCAATGCATCTTCCTATCTGCTATCTTTATGGCTGCTGAAAACTTGGCTGAGCCTCTTCAAGGAATGAGAAGGAAACATACGAATAACAAGAAGGGAAAACATGTTGCTCTTTTCAGCAGCATATATGCAGATTGGGGACTAACAAATGGATTTAACCTTCATCCTAAGGTTAAATAAGTAGACCCATTGAACAAATGGGAACTGCTAAATGAACACTTACACAAATCTTGTTCATTCAGTGGATCTAGTTGGGATTAAGAATTGAATTCTGCTTTCTGTCCATATCTATAAAGCAATGGACTTTTCATCTGTAGTCTCTTTTGTCAGACTTTTTTGGGGGTGGGGTGGAATTATTTTCTGTGCAGTTAGATCCTATCCAAAGAAGTAGATTACTTCTCCATTCAGAAGTAACTTCCACTTTATCCTGCCTTGCTCTCCCCAAAACAAAAGGCCAACCTGCTCATTCTTGTTTTGCTACAGATCCAACAAGGAACAAGAGTTAACTGGTTGATATCGGCTGCAATAAAGGAATTGCAGCAGAGAGAAAGCACAGTCTCTGCTTCCAGCCTGGTTTCCAATAATTAAGTTACAAGGAAAAAAGAGATAGGCCATCCTGTGCAATATGAGTAAATGATTAATAGAACAGCTGTTTGCAAGTACCCAACAAGATGGCAATACAAAGGAAGAAGATGAAATGACTTGGGCTCAATTCAGAATCTTGATGAAAATAACAATGGAGACAACTGGATTGCCAAGTGTAGGGTTTTTTTCCCCAGCAGTGAAATGTACGTATTCTAGGTTTAAAACTATAGCCTAAGTGAGGTGGACAAATGCTAAATTACACATATTATTATAGATGTCTAGGTAAGAGCCTGCAGAAAAAGAGTTGAGTAATCCTCTTTAACCAATGACTTTTAAGATATTACATATATGGCAAGTTTAGCCATCTCTACTTGCACGAGAAAGACTGACTTTTGGATAAATAATATAGCTTAATTAACAGAAACTTCATCACATCTCTCTCAAAGCCTCTCTCAAAGCCTCTCAGGTGTGATTCCACATGTTTCCCAGATGTTCTTGTGGTTGGACGATTTGCATTGCAGCCTTCCTTTGCAAACATAGACAAGTTGATATTGATATGCCTCTGTATGTTGCCTTTATGCTCTGAGAGACAAAAACACAGCAAAGATGCTGTTGGGCGACAACCTGGATTGCAAAAAACAAAAGATACTGGAGAAATTAATGGCAACCTATAATAAGGTTTGTCAATATGTGCTGCTTTGTAATGGGAGATAGTCCTATAAACAGAAGATACACCATAATCTCTAAAGAGCTATTAAGTCATGTAGACTGTGTTAAACTGCAAACATTTTAGGGCTTTCAAAGAAGCTATTAATTTAATTATTTTAAAACTAGGCCTTCAGTTATTAACTCTAGGCCCTCAGTCCCCACCCGCATCTTAATCCCATGACAGACTCTCAGTATCAAGATACTGGTGGCCATCTCCTTTTTTTCTTCTCTGCTTGTTGAAAGAAAAAAAAAGCTGTTATTTCCCATTGCTGCTAGTGCTTTCGGCTACTTTTGTCCCTGCATTTTGCATGCCTGTTCTCCAGAAGCACCTATGCATCCTGAAGTACCTGTCCATATCCTGGGAATAAAGGAAAGCAGCAATACTAAAAGGAAGGGCTGGTATTGCCCTGTATTTCTGAAGGAAAAGTGGAATACTGTAATTAATATGCAGAGCAACATAGATCTTCAGAAAGGCAGGAACCATTGATTATCACAGGGTAGCAGTAATCAGCTGTGGTCAGTGGAATGAGGAAAGTGTGCTGTTGAGTTCTTGAGATAGGGTCAGATATCAGAAGTTAGCGGCTATATTGAAGAGATTTGTCGGTACATTGCCATTTCCCCAATCCCTGTTTTAATCCATGATTCAGCTAAATAAACTCAGAAAAGAAAAATTACAAGAGTTGATGTCTATAAGGCCTGGCACCTTTTTGCAGCTTCTGTGACTTCCTTGAAACAAATGTATCAATTAAAAAGACAATATAAAAATTCTGGAAAGACATTCTACAGAACAATTCTAAAAAGGATTGGGCACACAAAGAAAATTTGAAACTGAAATCTACTGATTATTTTAATTCTTTATTTAAGATTCTGTCTTTGGCTGTGACTATGCTCTTTTCTTCCTGTTACTGCTTTCCTTTCTTCCCAGGATATGGAGAGGTACGTCAAGATGCACAGGTGCTTCTGGAGGACAGGCTCCATTTACTGTGATTTGATTCGCATCCTGTATTACAGCTGAATTCACAGTCAGTGCTCACACGGGGGCTGCAGATTGACTCAAGAGATCAGTGTTCACACTCAATGTGATACAATTCACATTTCAGTCCACAGGCCTCCTCCTCCTTTCCTTCCTCTGGTCTTACCTTTGCTGATGCTTTTATGGTTTACTGTCAAGCCACCTCGTTTTGAAAGTGTTATGCATTGTTCTGGAAAAGGTGGCAGCATTCCAAAGTTCTTAACATGGACAGAAATACCACATACCATAGAAACGTCTTATTTCATCTGGGTTGTTTCTGTTTTGTTCATAATTTTTTTAAAAAAATAATTCTCAGCTGAAGGTAATCTAAGGGCAAATCAGTATATCAACACTATTGATAAGGTGATAAGGTGATGTAGCACTTATCTCATATATTTAACAAATTAAAAATTTCAGCGGACAATTGGGATGAAAGAAGACAGGGGCAGGTGTTCCTATGGTCCAGAACATCACGCCCCAACTGCCTTTGACACCAAAACACTACCCAGAGAATGCCACCCCATCTTAAGAAGAACAAATCAACTGATCACATGGTATAAAGTCCATTCAAATTATTCCAGCTTCAGAAGAGTACAAGCCCTCAGAGGCAGAGGAAAAAAAGCTGCATTGGGAGCAAAAAGAGCTGGATCAATTCAAATCAGCCTTTGTGTTATATGATCAGGAAAAAAAATACTTCAGATCAAGTCATACTATAACTATAACAGATTATGCAGTATTCAATTGTGCATACAGCCTTAGTGTTTTGGTGGTTAATATTATATTTAATGCTTTACTGTACAGTTGGTTTTACTTTATAAAGTAAAACAAAACTTAGACAACCACTTGGCAGATAGCCTTGTTATATTCTTGCCTTGAGCAGGGGGTTGAACTCAATGGCCTTATAGGCCTCTTCCAACTTTATTATTCTATGATTCTATGATTCCTTGGAAACAAAACAAAATGTCCTTGGATTCTTTTCTCCCCCTTCCCGCTTCAACATCACTGCCCCTTTGCTCAGTACCCTCCAACAAACTCTGTTGAATAATCATTCCGATAATTCCTCAATGGAAGGCAAACAAAAGCACAACTTTTTAAACCTGTCTCATCACATTTGAGCCTAAATGAGTTTTAAAAGAGGCAGGATTTCTTCGTAATTAAATTCCCAGAACTTTCCAAATGTGGTAAAGGTGCTGCCTGGAGGTTTAAGGGAAAGATGTTTTCAATTATGGATGGCATTTTAATGAGTATTCACTTCCATAATGAGATACTTATGCTACAGGCAGAGGAAAATGCCTCTCTCATATGTTTAGATCTCCACCCATAATTGTTGTAATGTTACAGCATTGGAACTCCTAACAACTGGAATGATACTTGGATAAGGGAAAGTACTCACCAGGAGCCTGTCCCCAGGGTCTGGATCAGAACTTGAGCTGGAAGTAAACAGAAAGGAATTAGAATGATATCTGTTTCAGCTACCAGGCTAGCAGTCAAAATATATACATGCAATTAATTTATTTTAAGAAGAGGTTTTGGCATAAAGAAATCTGAACTGATAACTTTTTAAAAAGCTGTATTTGGAAATACTAACATTGGTTCATCATAGTGCAGTGCATACTCTAAAATGGTGTAGGCATTATACTGCACATGGGCTTTTTCTCTCTGATCCAGTCAGATTAGAACAACTAGCAAATAACCTCTGGAGAAAGAAAAGAAAAATACAGATTTTGTGATTCACCATAAAGGCAGTTTTTCCTAAGACAGACTTATGTGATATATAGCATCCTTACTATATTTGTGCTGATATATTAATGATACTTTTATATATTAACACTGAGATGGGCATGAATTAAAAAACAAATCACCAAATTCATTTTTAAAATTGCTAGTTCATTGATTTGTATTCGTACGAATCAGTGAATTTTTAGTGATTTTTGATTCATTGATTGATTTGACTATAAAATGACTCCCAGTCACCTAGAGACACCAAAATCTTCCTCTGGCTCCCCTCTACAGTCTTTCCAAGTTGGTGAAGATTGGATTTGAGATATCAGGTTATAAACCCACAAAAAGTTACAGTCTTTCCAAGTTTGGTGAAGATTGGGTTTGAGATATCAGGTTATACACCCACAAAAAGCCCTCCCCAAGAAAGTTTCCCCAAGGCACCTAGAGATACCAAAATCATGGAGAAGCTTCCCCTGACTCTTCTTTAAAATCCCTCCAAGTTTGGTGAAGATTGGGTTTCTCCAAGCCACCTGCTAAAGAGCACTTTCCTGCGGGGACCAAGCCAGCTGCTAAAGAGCACTTTCCTGCGGGGACCCACTCATAGGTGTATAACTTGGATGTCTGAAAGCCAGTCTTCACCAAACCTGGAGAGATTGTAGGGAGTCAGGGAAAGATTCTCTGTGAATTTGGTGTCTCTGGGTGCTCGGGGGGTATTTTATAGGGTTTTAAAGTAAAAAAAGGAATTGACTAATCAATTTGTGGATTCTTCAGAAAAAAATTGTCTCTGTGAATTTGGTGTCTCTGGGTGCTCAGGGGGTATTTTATAGGGTTCTAAAGTAAAAAAATGAATTGACTAATCAATTTGTGGATTCGTCAGAAAAAAAATGTAAATCTGTAATTTGTGATTCATTGAACTTGATGAATCAAAACGAACAATCATTTTTCTGATCCGTGCCCATATCTAACTGACACAAATATAGACCACATATCCATACTACTTTACCCAGGCTTCATGCTCTGGAGAGGACATTTCTTGATACAGAGCATGTTACCATAGTCTCTTGAGACTGAAGGATGCCTATGATAAAATAATATCTAAGCCACAGAATTATTCCTTTTTCAGAGATAGAATAAACAATCCCAGAACCAGCTCTGTCTGGAAGATCAGGTCTCCCTTTCTGAGCCTCCCTATTTTTTGAAGTTTTATGTAGAAAGTGCTTCCTTTGCTTCTTAACATTTTCACATTCATGTTTGGGGAGGGCCCAAGACGATGCTTTTACAAAAGTTGCTCCCGGGCTGCAAACTCTCTTTCACATAGAACCTAGGTGGCGCCCCTTCTCATTTTTCAACAGACAAAGTTCTTTCTCATGAATCAAATTTGTGAGAACTGAATGAACTGGAGAGAGAATTTTTTAATGGAGGATGACTTGCACTGGAAAAAGCAAAATGCCTATACAGTAATATTTCTCCTCTGATGTTTTTGAAAATTGGAGACATCATAAAACTTAAGGAGGGAAATAAACCTACCGAATTTCAGATAGGAAAGATTCAAGTGATTTCATGGTAGGAATCTGTAAAATGTTTCCCCTTTTTATCCTCCTAAGTATAGTTCTTAAAATAGGCACGTTCAGATGCTCAGTCTTGACTATGTATTCAGCTTTTTCCTTCTCCCTAGTATTGGCAACAGTTTTCCAGAGCTTGAAGAAAATCCCCAGATTTACAAATGATGGAGAGCCAAAAAAGAGAGTGTGTTTTGGAGGAGGGGAACATTTTCCCACTCAATTTAGATGCTTGAATCTCCAGATCAGTAGCCACTGGGCAATGGATTGGGTCTCCCATCAGCACCCCTACTCCCCATGAGGTACAGACTCTCTCTGTGTTGCTCCATCTGTAAGTAAAGGATCCCTAAAGTGACCTAAATATTTTCACTTCATACAGGATCCTAATATGGCCATCTTTTTCAATCCAGACCCCCATACAAATTGATCCAAATTGTCCAAATTGATCCAAATTTGACTGATTCAGTTCAGAATTAGGGATTCAACTGAAACCAATGCACACCCCTAATTTATTTATGGAATTCATATCACACGTTTCTGCTAAAAATAGGATCCAAGGAGACTTGCAGTGAAATTGAATGAATAGTGCAATTAAAACACAGAAGGAGATCAAATATTAAAACAGAATTAAATTAAAAGCACACCTTAAAACAATGTTATTGAATCCACATTATATCTTGAAGGATGAGGCTGTTGCGTTTTGCCATGAGACTTTCTTGCTTTTATCATCTCTGAATAAAGCTTGCCTGCTTTGCACTTCCCCGCATGCCCGCATGCATGAGTTGTTTGGTTGTTCAATCTGAGCTTTTTGATTGTTCCCGCCCCCCATGGTTCCTTCTGAATTACCTACCAATTGTTTGCTAGTATTTTGATCTACAGAATAATTTTGACTGAGTGGAATTCCAAAGAAGTGACATTGCAGGCAATGTTCCAGGATTATCTGTGTTTCCATTGCAATGGGTGTATCTCTTGCCATCATGCTAAAAAGAAGATACAAAAAAGACTCCTCCTGATGTAGAAAGTTGCCAGAGTTTGAACAAACCTTGAATATTGTATGGGCAGTACAGCATTAGCTGTGGCATAATTTTAGTCTTCTTAGAGAAGAAGATGGAGAAGGGATCACCATGAGTTGTTTTCTAGGTCCTCTGTGACTTGTAAAAACCATAAAGAGATTTATTGTACCTTAAAGACCAAAGGCAATGTCCCATTGATCTTTTGCTGATCATAAAGTTTAATCAGTGGAGTACTGTGTATTGGACCATTTGTCAATTTATTGTACCTTAAAGACCAAAGGCAATATCCCATTGATCTTTTGCTGATCATACTGTAAAGTTTAATCAGTGGAGTACTGTGGATTGGACCATTTGTCATTACACAAACTGTGATCTCCATATAGAAAATCCACCCTCTGCTTGCACAACAACAATATATCGCCAAGTGACATGATACCACACTACAAAAGTCCACCCTCTGCTTGCACAACAACAATATATTGCCAAGTGACATGATACCACACTACGAAAATGGTGGGACTCTCTGCTTAGATTTATTAAGGCTGCCATAAGCTTTTATAGACTACAGTCCACTTCAACAGAAATATTAAGTATCAACCTGTGTTACAGGTATAATCATGTAGTTTGGGTATGAGAATCTAAACAGTAGAATCAGGTGGAAATTAAATCCAAAAAGTATGGGCAACTATAATTAGTATATTAATGGAAAGTTCACAACATAGTTCATTATTACAGAAAAATAACTGCCATTAGTAAAATCATACATGTAGTGTGGCCTTTACTCTTGTGTAAGCCACAGATGGTAGAACCAAATCTCTTAATGAATTACAGTATAGTCATTATATTTGTATTATATTAGATCTTCTTTAGAAACTCCTTTGTTCAAGAATGGTCAGCAAGTATCAGATGCTTAAAGTCCATTAAAGTCTAAACTTCAACTAAATCTTTTAGTTTTAAACTTTGTTTCTGAATCAGCAAATATCTTGAAAAGGTCCATTTAAAAAATATCATCCAGAAGACCAGCCCTCTGATAACCGAGAAACCACAGAATTTTAAGCACAGGTTTATCATAGCAGTATGGTAATTAATTTATGGAGAAATTATCCTGTAACAAGTCTGTGTGCTCAGTGAAACCTGAGCGCTGGAACATTTTTACTTACAAAGGAGCTGCTTTGATTTCACCAAGCGTGCTTCAGACACTGGTTTGATTTGGACTGTCAGAGATCTGCCGCACAGCTATTATAATTGGCTTCTACTAGTTTGATGTCCAGCAAGGTAGTTGTGACAGGCACACAGAAGAATGATGGCAACTGTGGCCTGCTCCCATTAAAATAAGTCCCAGTGGGCTCTTTCCTGACTAGGAAGCAGGAGGCCACCTCTCCGCTGTGTGCAAATTAGTCCACTGGATTTTGCTGTTGCACGGAGCTGTTGTAGAACAGGGACATGTGCATTCATATGCATACTCACAGAGAAAGAGAGCATTGAAGCAAAGGTCAGATAGATGAAAATGCACAAATTATATATATTAGACAGAGACTGAGAATGGTTGTTTTGTTTGTTTGTTTGTTTTCTTGGACCCGAAGGACAAACTATACCTGCTGACTCAGTTCATTCTCGGATTCATCAAAGGCAACCCAGTTTCCCAACGGCAAGAAGCAGTCTGGTCAGACAGAGAGGGAAATCAGCAAATAGAGTAAGCTGTGGGCAGGGAGCTGGAGGGAATAGGCTGTTTGGGCTAATTGGACTCAGATGACTGCAAAACCATTGGAGGCATTCAGAAAATATAGTCATTAAATGAACTAATTGAACAGGAGGGAACACAAACATGACTCATCAAGAATAGCTAGCTACCTAGGTATTGGCAGAGCTGCCCAGGGGCTGGAAGGGTGACTTGTCAGACCCAAACTCCCAAACTCCCACAGACCCACCATATCATGTTGCCTGGGTAATTTTGAGAGTTTTCATCCAAAAAAGTGTGTGGGGGGAGAGAGACAATCCTTCAAGCCCTGGTTAGTCCTCCTTGCTCCTAAAATGTCCTTGCCCCCTTGTGTTACCACTGCCACCTCAACCCTCTTTTCACCATAAGCAGCAATGTAGCATCAGGCTGGTCAACAGCCAACTTGAGTTTAGCAGAAC